CAGAACAAAAGTGAAGATGAATAACAATGCTATGGCTCTGTCCCTGGGATGGTGTATTTCAAATGTTGGGTTTCTTCCAAGGTGTTATTAAAGTTCTCTGAAGCGTTGCTACTAAAAAAAAAAAAAAAAAATGTCAAAAGAACTCATGTTATTTATTGTTTCTCAAAATTCATTGCTGTTTCAGGTTGTGTCTAAGTTAACACATCCATTTTATTTTGAAAGTCACTGCAAAATGCTCTGATAAATGAACATAAAAGACATTAGTAGATACAGGTAATGAAAACTCGATTCCAACCCTTCATGAATATGACAAAGAGACCAGAGATTTTAAAACAATGATAGTATGTAAATAAAATGCAGATCCAAACAGAGCTCCTATAGAATGTATTACGAGTGGTCTTCTAGTCTATTAAGGAGACAAGCAGCAGGGACCAAGGCATATTTTGTGAAGATGTTAGGTGAGCTCAATATTTCTCTAAAATTATCAAGCCTACTGATATCTGGTGCTATCTCATATAAGGCAGTAAGTGAATAGGGGACTAAATAGGGAGAATGTTATAGGTGGAAAGAAACACAAATAATAATAGGAGAAGAAGCAATAATGAACATTTATGCAGTGCTTAACCCTGGGGTCAAAGATGCAAGAATTGTACATGGATTATGTCATTTAATCCTGCCAAATAACTTTCTGAGGTAGGCAGCCTAAACTGTCAGATAATTATTTTAACTAATTCTTGAAGACAGATGAGCCCTTCATGGTAGATAAGTCAGATTCTCCCCACCTGTCTTTTAAAATGCATCTGAATTCATTGAAACATAGAGATGAAAGACAGCTTCATGCCAAGGTGTGGTGGCTCACACCTGTAATCCCAGCACCCTGGGAGGCCAAGGTGGGTGAATCACCTGAGGTCGGGAGTTTGAGACCGGCCTGGCCTACATGGTGAAACCCAGTCTCTACTAAAAATACAAAATTAACCAGGTGTGGTGGTGCATACCTATAGTCCCAGCTACTCAGGAGGCTGAGACAGGAGAATCGCTTACACAGGGGAGGCGGAGGTTGCAGTGAGCTGAGGCTGCATCACTGCACTGCAGCCTGGGTGAGACAGAGCATGATTCCATCTCCAAAAATAAAAATAACTTTTAAAAAAAGAAAGAAATTTTCATGATCAATTGACCTCATATATATATGTATATATGCTAAGTATGATTTGTAAAGGAGTAAAAATGTTAATTTGTCTAGGTTCATTAATTTCCAATGTATAAAACAGAGGCTCAAACATTAAAAAGATTTACTAAGATCATGGTTGTCAGAGACACCTCTCTCCCAGTCTGTTGATACTTTCACCACACATCATGACCTTACATGGCAGAGAAGGAAGCTATGTTCTATTAATCTGATTTCTAACAACGTTATCCACAAACAAGATTCACTCTATACATAGAAGCTTTGTAATTCATATTAGTGGGTTATGTTTACATTGACTAAATATTAACCTGCAAACTGCTCATTAAGCTGCAAAAAAAATCTCGAATTCACCATAATGCCTTGTAATTCAAAAGATCTATGCAATACATTTCCAAATTCTCAGAACAATATTTGATGTAAATGGGGCAAAAGAGATACACAGCGCAAATTAACATGAATTAATTCAGTCTTTATTCTCTATACTGAATCTGCTGCGTTTTTAAAAAACAACCAATTCATTCATACTTAATATCTGACATCTGATAAGGAAAGAAGATGATGAATGGAAGTTGAGTTTAGGGAAGGATGAAAACACAGGAATACTATAAAGGGGAAAAGAAGAAAACAGAGAGGGAGAGAGAAAAATATGTGAGGCATGGATGATCAGTTAGAGAAAATGTAGAGGAAAGCAAGAGGAATCAAAGCATGGTCAAGCCATCTGGAAGAGTTTTTTTCTAACCTCAAGATTGTTGAAGCCTGCTACTGATTACTGTATCAGATGCCCCTAGGTGACATTCTTGCTTCTGATGACCAACCCTTGCGTCTTTACAGCTCATTACAGCAAAACCAAGATGCAAATACTTTGGAGGCTAGGACAAAAGCTTTCCATTCATTTCTATCTCACCAAACTGCTCATGAGGATTTTCCACCTCTAGTCATACAATTAACCTGTGTCTGACAACAGAAAATCACAAAGATCATGATTTATCAAAAGCACTGCAGTTCAATCTGCAAATGTTTAACTGTCATACAGCTACATGATTAGCTCTTGATTTTTTTTTTATGGCAGAGGTAGTGTTTCATTGGTTTTAAATGCACAGACAAAATAGTTCAATTATGAGAGCCTTCAATGTTAGAATAAGGAATAAATATAAATTATTTAAAAATCACATTTTCTTATAAAAGCTAACTAAGAAATTAGAGACTTCAGACAACAGAGGTATACATTAGCAATAAGAGCTATTGGGGGAAAATAATAAAGATCAAAGTCAAATTTATCAACAGAAATACAATTTTTACATCTGATTTTTCTTCTTTCCATGTTGTAATAAATTGTAAATTTGAAGCCTGATGACGTACTAATTGAAAAACGTTATTTATCTGGTAAAACTGTACATGACAACTTTACTGACTATAGATTCCATCTTGGCAAACGTAACCTCCCAAATGTCCCATTCTGGCAAACTCAGGTGAGTAAGCAGAAACAAATATAAGGATTAGTGGATTTCTATCCTTATTTTAACTGAAAATCCTGTCTATTGCTTTATTTTTAAACTGTTACTAACATGTTTAAATGATAATTGCATCTCCTCAATGAGCACGGTTCCTTATTATTGGAATTGGCAGGGGGCCTTGACATTTGAGTCATCCTTTCATTATGTCTATTTCTTACCCTGGTATACAAATTAAATAGAAATACAAGCCAAATGAAATATAAGGGAGAAAAATCTGAAGCAGTAATTTTAAAATGAATTATTTTTTCTCAAATCTATAAAATATATAAAGCGACAACACTGATAATCATATATTCTAGTTCAAACATATTTCCAAAAATACCATCTTCAATTCTAAAGGCCAAAAATGCTTCAAATTCTCCTAGCCAAATACTGTACTTCTGTAAAACAGAACTGATAGCTTTGATATTCCCTAAATTAAAGAGAAAAAACATATTTTAAAGCAACTACAAATGAGAACAAAAATGCACATTTAACAAGTTTCTTCCATTCTAAAGGACTTCAAAATGCGTAATTATTGAACATATATATATATATGTGTGTATAAATATATATGTAATATACATATGTGACAAATTTTATTCAAATCATCATCATATGATCAAATAGTAACAATTAATTCAGACTAAAATATCCAGATGTGCCAAACTGGAATCCAGGTCTATCCTTAGATATTTTCAAGTCACTGAACTTATATGATAAAAAACACTGAATTCCTAAATCACCTAATTTAGTCATATTGAATAAATGAGCATCATTCTATCTTTCCCAAATAATTTGTTTGTTTGTTTTTGAGACAGAGTCTTGCTCTTGTCACCCAGGCTGGAGTTCAGTGGCACAATCTGGGCTCACTGCAGCCTCCACCTCCCAGTTTCAAGCAATGTTCCTGTGTCAGCCTACTGAATAGCTGGGATCACAGGCACCCATCACCATACCTGGGCTCATTCTTTTGAGTTTTCAGGAGAGACGGGGTTTCATCATGTTGGCCAGGCTGGTCTCAAACTCCTGACCTCAGGTGATCCACCCACCTCAGGTTCCCAAAGTTCTGGGATTACAGGTGTGAGCAACTTTGCCTGGCCATCTCTCTCTAATATTTATTTTAAAACTTTCCGTTGAACTTCAAAATTATAAAAATCATCAATCAAGAAACTAGTGCTGTAAAAAATCCTCAAAAACATGTTAAGCACTGCTTTCAGGGGGCTATTTCCTCATTTATTTATTATTACTCTAGAGTATATATAAATTATTTTCACTGAGTCTTTAATTACTTATACAACACTTCTTTCCTTTAGCCCAGAGCAACCTGTCATTTCTAATAGCTAACAGCTTCCCCCAAATGCTTGGAAATAGGCTGAATAGACAAAAAGAACTTTATTTACCCTGGTACAAAGTGTTGAAAAGATAGTCTACCAGAAACGGAATGACTGTACATTCAAATTTTTCTCCTGGAAATTAGTGGGTTTTTTTAATCACTGAAAGTGTATTACTAAACATAAAAAGTCATGGTTTATTTTTCTTTACATTTTATTATTTATTTTAATGTTGACGTTTTAAAATATTTTACCTGAGTGACAAAATGTTCATTTAAACCCAAATATTTTAAGATTTATTTCTGGTATCTTTTCATCAATTATTTATAATTTATAACCCAATTTCCCAAAAGAGATTCAAAGAAATCCACAAACAATTTTCTGGTCTTCATTTTATTCTCTCAACTAGGGATCATGTTTTAAAGTGATGAATTTGTATTTTAATACTAAAATTTAAATAGAAAAGAAGTCCTGAGACAGTCAATTCTCAACTTTTAGGGAACACATTATTCTGCATATTAAGACAAAAATAGGATGTAAACCAGATGTTCCTAGATTATGAAATTTAGAAAAGAACATATTCAAAGTGAAGGTAGCTTTTAGCATATATATTTAAGATACTGCAGTCACACCCCACAATGTTGAAATGCTATATTTCTCATAGTTTGACTATAGTCAGTGGAAATATTCATGAGTTTATATTATTAGGTTTTTAGTGAGTTCTATCATTTTTGTAATTACTATAGCTAGTATTAATAAATGTCTTCTTTTTATATGCTGAAATAAATTAATGGAGGAGGCAGACACTATGCAAAATGGCTGGGAATTGGGCCAAATCTTTTTACATACATCCAGGGACCAGTAATCTTCTAAATGGCACTTTATGCTCTCTTGCCTAAATAATTACAAGTACAGCCAGCATGTAATTTACTGAAATAATTATCCACTCTTCTAGTTCCCATCACCCATCTTAAGTCCATAGCCACTTACCTTGTCTTTATTTTCAAAGCCAGAAGCCTCAGGCTTGGTTCTAATCACAAACGGGGTAGACAGTCGCAGCAGGACCCTTTCAAAGGTGGCATTAACTTTTGGAGATACAATCTCAAAGCAGTCCTCAAACTTGAGCACTTTGTGAGTGTCACACCGAAGCTGCTTCCTTAGACCTTCCCCCAGCTGAAGGACTGACATACTGGGGTCAAACATCAAGTGGAAAGGGAAGGCTCTGCAGAAGGTGTTGATGCTAATTCTGAGGTCCGCAGGAACTTGGGAAGTTCCCTGCGGAAGGTTCTTTGTGATATTAGTATTTTCACATTCTTTGATAAGGAAAGTAAGACAGCTACAATTGCCTGGGTTTGAACCATCAGAGCACAGCTTCTCATTCGCAACCTGTTTCACTTCCACATCCAGCCGGTAGATCTTCTTTCCTGCAGCCTTAATCATCCCCAGCATTGCAAACCCCACAATATGGTGAGGGTGGAAGTAGTGGAGCATGAGAGTACCTTCAGGGAGCTCTTTGCATAGGAAAGATGGTGACTCCAGAGTGGCCTGTTTTCCAAAAGAAGTTCTAATATGTTCCAACAAAGCATCAAAGCCATTAAAAAAGTCCTGCAAAGTGCCACCTACAGCTCGAAGGACTCTCTCATTCTCATCAAAGCATATATTAAAGAACTCTTCACCAAATCTTTCTTGAATTTCCTCAAACTTCAAACCTAGAGGTAAATGGGAAGCAAATGTTAGTGAAGTTTAATATAAATAATTGAATTTATAGGTTTTTAAATGCTTATCAAAAGAGGTAACTACTGAGTGAAGTGACAAATGTTATGTTTCTTGGACCCACAAATTTCCACATAGGTTAATGCACTCATCTCAAATCAGAAAAAGTAAATTTCAGTTCATCTTCGGGATGCTTCTAAAATGTTAATGAACAACCTTGTTGTTTGTTTTTAAATAGACTACATATTTTTAGACCAGTTTCAGATTCACAGCAAAATTGAGCAGAAGGCACAGTTATTTCCCAAATCTCTCTGCCCCCACACACGCACAGCCTGCCCCATTATCACATCCCCCACCAGAGTGGTACATTTATTACAACCTGTGAACCTACGTGATGCATTATTATCATCCAAAGTCCATGGTTTACATTAGGGTTCACTCTTAACAGTATATGCTGTGGGCTTAAACAAATGTATAATGACAGGTATACACTATTATCATAGCACATAGAGCATTTTCGCTACCCTAAAAATCCTCAGTTTATCCCTTCCATCCTCCTAACTCCCAGAGCATCAACTGTTAAAATGCTGCTAATCTAGGTGTTCACCTTTCAATAGCCTTGCAGTAGTTACCACAAATAATGTATTTTTCTTTTTCTTAATGACTTCCCCATTCTTCATAGAATATCCAAGTTGCCTACATATTATATCCACATACCATCCATATTATCATCTTACTGCGTATCAAAATGCATCTATTAAGTGGAAAATATAAACCAGAGAGGAAATCTATGGCACATGAGCGAAGAGAGGCATCAAGCTCTCTGGTGGAAATAAAAGCCTTACATCAGTAATCTCTGGGAAAGTCATGCAGGTCAGCTAGACCTCAGGGAAAAGGAGACAAAACAAGAAAATAATAATGGCAGAACTATGGAATGATTTGCATTCTTTCATCCACAAAAGTGAGGGCAGCCAAGAAAGGAACAGGAATCTGATGAGACAGAATCAAAGGTTGCTGTTAAGTTTTCTCCATATATAATCACTGCCTGATGCCCTGGCAAAAGGAATTCCACCTTATAGTACTGGATATTATAATGAAAAATAATTAAGTGTGCATAATGTGTTATATAGTAATAAGAAGCAGGATCACGTGTGATCACAAGATCCACCCTTGCGGACGATCTGAGGAAAAATGAGGGAATTTATGTGCCACGGAGGACTATATATAACACATATAAAACATTTTGGTCCGCATATTAAAGACAGCTTCTACCTAAAGTCACTCTATTGCTTCTTCTTTAACATTGGTTGAAATCAATATATGTAGCTTACATATTCATATTTTCTTGCCCCATTTACTTCGTCTCATTAGGAAGTTCTACAAATCAGGCAGAACTGGAAAAATACAGGTTACTTTGCTAGTGCCCCGTTAGAGTGCAGAGCAATCTAGACTGTCTACGGTTTAGTTGCTTTCCTACCTTTATCATTCCCTGAGTGTTCCTCCCAACCAGAAGCGAGGCAAAAGAACAGAGTCAATAATATTATTTTTAAACTAGAGTCAAAGTACATCTAATATTCTTTAAGAGGTTACTACAGAGTCTAAAAATTGTAGCCAAGAAGTCATTTTGACAAAGGACTTCTTAAAATCAACATGATAGGAAAATGAGTAGAAAACCTAAGTAAGAAAGAGTCTCTTTATTAATAAGCATTTCATATTAATTTGGGCTTCATGGATTGGATGCTCAAGACTCGCTGAAAAAGTCACCTATTAAGATAAAAATATCACCGCTCGTCTCACATTGCCAGGTTACAGGGCTGCTCTTCAACATATGTTGCATTCACTAATAATAATGTCAGCCAGAATTGATAATAATAGTACTTATCTGTCCATTTCTCTAGTGTAGAAAACAAGATGAATAATATTCACTTCCATTTGGCTCTTCTTCTGGCTGCTCTGTTGAAACTGCTTTCATAAATATTCAACAATATACTGTTTTGTCCTTATCTTGCTTAACCTTGTTCGCTACTTTTCCTTTAATTTGACACGATTCATCATCTCTTCCTCCTATCTTTTGGCTTATCAAACAATACTCTCCTGGTTTGATTATTATCTGTCTGAACATTAATTCTCACTTCCTTCACTATAACTTCTTTCTATGCCAAATCCTTATATCACCGTCACTACGTTATAACTAGAAAACTCTAACATACAAATTAAATTTATATACACATTCAATGACAGTCCTCTCTTGCTATGAAATCTTCCAGTTTATGAAATTCTTATTAAAAACTAAATACAGAGTAAATAAAAATTTCTATAAACTGACCATATATGCTGAACTACAATATTTCACGTGCCACTGAAAATATTCTATGGATTGCTTCTAAACTTTGAAGAATTGTATTTTCAAAAGACTTAGGGTCCATATGCATTGAAGAGAAAAAGAGAAGTTCTTCTATCTTTCTCATAACATTGAAAATGCCCTCACAGTTATCATGCACACAAATGTAAAGATAATACAGTAAGCTTATGTTCTCTGTCTAATGCCAGGATCTCAAAGAATCATCCAGAAAGTAACAAGTTCACCACAGGCAACAAAATAAAAACTACTCTATGCACAGCAATCTCTCAACCAGAAAACCTTGCTGCTCTATAAAGGAGCTTGGCACTATAATGATTGTACATTTTCAAATGATGATGCTAAGGAATACCAGAAGCTAAAGTAACATTTGTAACACTAAAAAAGTTGAATTTTTTTGAATATTATCTTAAAATATCATGCATGGCAATTCTATATAAACCCTTAATATTCAGTTAACTAATAAAGATTTTATTCTCACAATGGTTAAACCCCACCGGATCAGAAAAGAAGAAAATAAATTCTTAGATTTGAAAAGATTAAAACCAAGAAAAGATTACTTCAACTACAAAATATACTACAAGTCAATAGCCAAGACTTTCATTTTAAACCTAATCTCAAAATTCAGAAAGCACAGACAAAGTGATTCAATTCAGACAAGTGATGCAATTCTGACTCCCAAGGTTCCGCCTACGATTGACGCAAACCCCCTACTTACAGTAAATCACTTGAAACATATAGACAATGCTCATCTCCTCACATCACAAGATTCTATGACAGCTTGACATTTGGGTCTATAAGAATACACTTCCTCAGGGGGCAAAATTTATAACAAAATTGCTCTTATTAATACGTAAGTTAAGTTAGAATTTTAAATTACTGTTAATTCACCTCTTTAAAAAAGTGAATAGAATAAATGCTGGCATCCTTTCGCTGTAAATAAAATAGAACCTGTTCCTTCATGACCTGGTCCTGTTGTCTCTCATCTGCTATCGCACCCCACTTCAGATGGCATTTCTTGAGGACAAGGACATTGCCCTACTTATGTCTGCATATCTATCACTGGCAAAATGCCTGACACCTGGAGAATAAGCTTTTTTTTTTTTTTTTTTTGAGAGGAAGTCTGGCTCTGTCACCAGGCTGGAGTGCAGTGACGTGATCTCAGCTCACTGCAACCTCTGTCTTCCAGGTTCATGCGATTCTACTGCTTCAGCCTTCCAAGTAGCTGGAACTACAGGTACATGCCACTATGCCCAGCTAATTTTTGTATTTTTAGTAGAGACTGTTTCACCACGTTGGCCAGGATGGTCTCGATTTCTTGACTTCATAATCTGCCCACATTGGCCTCCCAAAGTGCTGAGATTACAGGCATGAGCCACTGCGCCTGGCCAAGAATAAGCATTCTTTCATAGAAAGCATTCATTTAAGTATTTGTTTGGTGAATATTACTAACCTTTTAAGGTTGCACTTGTGCCACATCTAAGGATATGAAGACAAAAAGACACATTATTTTCTCTCACAGGCCCCTACAGAACAGTAAATTACAATGTGGTTGGGCTACAACAGATGTACACAGTAGTACCTATGGAGGTGCAGGAAAAAGAGCATCTGCCTCTCCTCAGGGAGACAATGTTTGAAGGGAGACTTGAATAAAAGATCAGGGTAGGCCGGACACAGTGGCTCGTGCCTGTAAACCTAGCACTTTGGGAGGCCAAAGCAAGCTGATCACTTGAGCCCAGAAGTTCAAGACCAGCCTGGGCAACATGGTGAAGCCCCATTATCTACAAAAAAACACAAAAATTAGCAGGCCACGATGGTACATGCCTGTAGTCCCTAGACCCAGGATGTTGAGGTTGCAGTGAACCATGATCATGCAACTGTACTCTAGCCTGGGCAGTGAAGTCAGACCCTGTCTGAAGAAAAAAATAAAATAAAAGCAGGTGTTCCCTGCCTGGGAAACACTGCAAAACCCTGTCTCTACTAAAAATACAAAAAAGTAGCCAGGCAGTGTGGTGCAGGCCTCCAGTTCCAGCTACTCTGAAGGCTGAAGTGGGAGAATCACCTGAGCCCAAGGAAGTTTAAGCTGCAGTGAGCTGTGACTGCACCACTGTACTCCAGCCTGAAGGACAGTGAGACCTTGTACTGAAACTAATTGGTCCTAGGCTTAATAACTGAATGAAAAATGATTCGTACCCAAAACCCCCACAACACAATGTTACCTATATAACAAACCTACACATGTACCGCTGAATTTAAAAGTAAAAAAAATCTGTGAACATATGCTTTAAAATATACATCTGATACAAATTTTAATAATGAGAAATGTGTAATGAGAATGAAGCCAACCCCTATCTGAATACTCTGAAACAAATTTTTTCACCTAGTAACAACTAACAAGTACAGTATCATAAAAGCACACTACAAAACTATCAATATTACCCCTTCCTTTCAAATCACAAAGCAAATGTCTGTGTCTTTCTTGTAAAATAAGAGATAGTCCTTTGTAGTATTTGTTCTGTGATCCTTCTATTTTCCATAAACATATTTAGAAGAACAAATTCTAAAACACTATAATGTATAATAAGAAAAAAAAAACAATGGAGAAAGGACTATAGCTAAATGAATTACAGAGAGAAT